AGAGAGAGAGAGAGAGAGAGAGAGAGAGAGAGAGAGAGAGAGAGAGAGAGATGGCGGTGGAATTGTGTTGCGCGCGAGAAGGCTCGAGTGTATAATAGTAAAAAAATTCCAGAATCACGCATCCGTGGCGAATTCGCTGGCGGAGCAAATCGAGCATCGATAACGGCGCAATTACAAGACCGTCAACATCACTAGACACCGTGCATACACCCGCTCGTCGTTGTCGTCGGGTTAGGACGAACGGATGGGTACACGATTCTGTCGATACCCGAGGGAGTATAATGCGGTCGCCTAATGAGACGTGGTGTGTGTACCCGGACGACAAATTCGAATTCAATTGGGTCCGCTAGTACTAGTCTATCCACGACCGAGAAACCGGGAGAACGTTTAAGCGACGTCGACGGAGAAAAGATAGCAATTAAGTTACACAATTCGCGTGAATAACTCCTAAGGGAGATGGAAAGAAAAAAGAGAAAGATAAAAGAGACAGAAACGGACACACTAGCGGGAACGGAATCGAGACGATCGACAAGCAACCGGATGGTGAATTGAGGCAGCTGGTTATACGACACGAAGGGCGGTTACGACCTCCAGTGATAACTCGATCCGTGAACCACGATGACCCTCGACCGTGCCCCGTTCCGATCGATAAGTTTAATAATCCGCAGACAAGGTACGCGAAGAAAATCGAATTTGCCGATCGGTTTGCCCATCGGCCCTCCGACCCTCTAAATGCGAATTCATTTCGACCTAATGGTCGGGAATGTGCTTTCCGTCTAATTGCCTATAGTCCGACCAAATGTGCACAATCAGACCGCGGTGATTCTCGATTAAGAAAATTTGGAATACCATGTAAGACAACGTTTCAGAACACATCTCGCTAAAACGAACACATTCAAATTCTCCGAGGAAAGAATTACTTTTCTTCTATTTGTTTTAAAAAAAAAAAACTGTCTATTGTGATAGTATCGTGATTATAGATATACAATTATTTTCTTTGTTCTTCTTTTTTGATTATATTACCGTATGATATTGCAATTAATTATTAATTTATTGCAAGCAGCATCTGTGTGAAGAATGCAATAAATTTGATGATGAAAAACACGAGTCGTCACTTTTGATGCAAATTCATTTCGAGTTAATGGACCGTGCATGAACGATGCTCAATTGCCGTGACCCTGTTCAGGATGCACATTTCCGCTTTTACGTACATCACGCGTACTCCGCAATGGCGACACAAAACCCAACAAGTCAGTACGCACTTGAAGCGTTTCGGTAGCGTTCTCTTACACGGTATTACAAGTGGCACGCGTACATACATCGGCGCAACTACGATGTGAAGATCTAAGAGAGTTTGCATAGAATAAATTTCAAGAGATTGCAGATTGTTTTCATCTATTTAAAGCGTATGTGTAATATTTACCGAAATTATAACAAGCTTTTCAAATAACATTATAATCGCGCGTATTGATCTCGGTCAACTTGCTGCCGCAAACGTGTCGCGCGTTGAGATATTACTACTAATGACAAGACGCGCAAAATAAAATATTTCGTTACGTTCGTTACCGCGGCACGTTAATTCGGTTACATCATAAACTATGCTGAGACACACAACAACGTGTTACGTAGCCCGACGTGCGCGCGACGAAATGCAAGTTTCCAGTTACCAAAGTAAACGAAGTTGTGAAAAATAATGGCGTTCCGCTCGGTAAGTAACCCGCCCCGACGAGAAACGACGGGCAGCTTAATCAACCGACGCCAGGTGTATTAAGGACAGCGGTAAAGAATCATGCGCCGTCGTTGGAAAAAAACGTGAAACTACTGGTATATGTACACGCTGGATTTTTTACAAACTCCATCTGCATACGTAACTCGGGATGACGCATCAGAACGCGTTCTTTTTCCACGACAACGATGATTTATGTTTCTACACGCGAGTATACCTCTTTATTTACAATTTACACATATCAAATTTATGTGATTATAATATTCTTTTATTCTTTTACCTTAATACCAAATTATATAACATTTTATGATTTCTAGAGAAAGAGAGAGAAAGAGAGAGAGAGAGAGAGAAAGAGAGAGAAAATACATTAAATTTTCTCTCACAAAAAGGAAATATCTTTTTAGATTCGTTCTTTCTCAAACTTTCTTTTCTCCTTTATTTAAAAAAGCGTGCGTGTGTGTATATGTGTATATTGAAAGTCGATACTTTACGATATCGAAGTTCTCCTCGAATATCTCGACGGAACGACGTTAATTTTTGCTACTTTTATCATGATTCTTATTGGTTCTTCTTTTTGCGGTTTCTTTCGCATACATTGTTCAAATATATATTTTTGACAGTTGTGGATTATATGTGTGACAGATACACACGCAAAATAGCGTGCGTCTCTCGCAAATGCAAATGTAAAAAGATGACGGAGCAAATAAATGTGATCCAAATTTGTTTTACGTGTGTGTGTGTGTGCGTGTTCAGTTATTAGTGTCAACGGAAAAGTAGATCCGTGGTCCGAACTCGCAGAGAGTGAATGGGGAAACTTGCGCGAATGGTAGTTGTCTCTGTTACGCGTGTAGTATGTGATACTCGAGAAAATTATGGCGTTTAATGAACACGACACGATCTCGTTGTGACGCGGTAAAGCTGGGTATACACCTAGCGAACGAACGCCAAACGAACAGCGAGCGCAAACGTTTGTTATTATCATTCGTCAGATTTATACGCCAAAACAAATGCGAACAGAACATTTGATTCGCATTTGGTTTGGTTCCCTCATGAGGCATTTGTTTNACGCCAAAACAAATGCGAACAGAACATTTGATTCGCATTTGGTTTGGTTCCCTCATGAGGCATTTGTTTTGGCGTATAAATCTGACGAATGATAATAACAAACGTTTGCGCTCGCTGTTCGTTTGGCGTTCGTTCGCTAGGTGTATACCCAGCTTAATACTACATAAGCGTACTTTCAGCGTATCGAATTGATTTACAAAAGCAAATGCGCGGACGCGACTCAATAGCGAAGCACAGCTTTTGTAAATTAAATCAATTCACTGAACTGTGCCAGGTTAAGTGCTAATGTAGCATTAAAGGTTTACTAAACATTTGGAAAATGTGAATATATTTACTGTATGTTGCCAGTGTGTGTACAAGTACGCTATACACAACGTAACGTAAATTATTTATACACAATTTGATTGAAACAACATTAAAACACTTGGAGTACTTTGCTAGTGTTTTTATTAAAGATTGTCATCTATATGTTGTATCTATATCACACCTGCACAATATGTGAACGCGAAAAGAACTTCACGTAAATTTGATCGCGCAATTTGTCTATGCATTGTTCAATTTGTAAAATAATAAGTTCGCACAGTCAATTTATGTACATAGGTTTATATCCCGTGTGTGCGTAAAGCGATACAGCTGTTATAGCCCCCCCCCAAAAAAAAAGGATTATATTCACGAAAGCACAAACACCGGGATTTTATATTTTCAATACGTATTTGCATTCGTGATTGTCTTCTTCCATATAATTCCGTGGATATTCCTGCCAATAGAATTTTCGTGCGAAGTTGCAGTATATACGGAATGGGTTATGTTTTTTTTTCCACACACACATACACACGTTACCAGGTTGCAAATGGATTTTGTAGATATTCGTTTTGTCTCGCACAGTGCAAGCATAATATCGTACACACAGCACGTTTTTTTTTTCACGCCAAATCTTTTTCAATTTTTTTATGCAAACGTTGCAAGAGAACGCTTGAGAGCAGCTAAACAATTCACATTGTACCGATAAAAATCTCAAATTTGACAAGCTATTAATAACGGTGTATTGTTTTTGTTTGTACATATACACTTTTTTTGACGTACTTCGGAACATCAAATTCTTTACTAAAATTGTCTTTTAGAAAAATACCCGAATAAATATTTTTGAATGAAATAATCTGTCATTTTTTTAATAAAACTCCTAACTGTGCGCGTTTTTCGACTGCGAAACAAACTTTAACACGATCGAGAGACACTACACGTTGTTCCTCACAATCGTTCATTTCTTTACGCGACGCATTTTTGGAAATTCAGAAATCATAGATCGGATTATATCGTTCCCACTCGAGTATCACCGTTTGGTCTAATTTTCGCGGATGCGGGCATCGAGATTCTCTCGGGGGGAAACTGCTGCGCGCCGCGTTCTAATTAACTGGTTGAAATCGAGATTCACCTGTGAGTGTGGTTACGTGAGATTTGACCATTGCGAAATCGTCATTAAACAGTAACTATCCGCGCTAATCCCTGTCATTATGGCCAT